TGCAACCAAATAAATCCAACAGTGAAGTCTAAACCTTTTTTGTTACCTTATGCACCTTCGCTATTTTGCGGTGATAATAGACAAAATGCTATGTCCCCTCTATAATTGGGAGGATATGACATCAACATCAAGGCATATGTATATTAGATTAAAAAAAAAACATATATACCTGCAAGCAAAGAACAGGTGCTATGATGATTCCGGAGATTCCTTATAGAAGATGCAGAGGATATATTGTTGTTTTGTGATAATGTCTTTTTTCTTTTTTTCAAAATTTTCTTTGTTGAAGGCCTATCTACAAGCATTTGCCAAGAAAATGCCAATATCTTGATAGAAATAATGTTATTCCAAAATTTTTCAAGGAATTTCTCATCTATTGACTTTAGCAACTAGACATAATTAGATTATAATTTAAGAGAAATGCATAGGTTTATCTAGTTTAGTAAACAGGAGAATTATGTAACTTGAACTGTCACACATCCTCAATGTAAAAATTGAATATTACTAAGTTTATCACATTCTGCATTTCAACAAAGAGATTTCCTCAGGTGAATAAAGGGTATCTCCATTCAAAGCTCTATCGCCAAACTCCATCATTCCAAACCCCGAAATCGAAGACACATATTTCTTATTTTCTTAAACATTGAATAAACCATTATATAATTAAAGGGCACATTTATCTCTTTTATCCCTTGTTGCATGCTAAAAAAGAATATTCCTCCCGTTCCCTACTCCTTTTTTTGGACCTAGATTCAACCAATCAATGGGAGAACTTTTGTTAATCTCAATTATACACAGTTATTTCCTCGATATAGTTGACTCGTTAGGAATTATCTAACTATTTATTTCTTAATAACAGCTTCAATTCGTGAAGATGTTAAACCAAGAAATAAAATTTTAGGAGTTTTAAATAAAAATACTAATGAAAGGGCTTAATTGTAGCAGTTGAAAAGAATTAAGGACTAGATTATAATAATTTTTTAAAAATTAATTAAGGGATTGAATTAGCGTAAAAAAATATCGAGAATCTGAAATCATACATTAACCACAAGTAATTAAGTCCTTTTAAAAAAAATTGTAATTAAGTCAGTAATTCCTCATAACTCCAACTCAATATAATAAATTTCCTATTAATATAAATAATAGCATTAAACTGTTACCATAAAATTACGAGAATTTGCAATTAATTATTCAACAGATATTCATGAGAGGATTTTCTCTGCAAATATCAGAGCAGTTACGGGTTAAATTAATCAATGAAAGAAAGTAAATACGATGCTCAATGTTCTTAGATTGAAAAAAAATAAATTTTTTTAATATGTGTTGAATGATACATAATAAAAACGCATGCATGATAAATTTTTATTAAAAATAATTAAATAACACATAATATAACACATTAATAATATCAAATACTATAACTTTTTATAAAAATGTATTGTTTTAAAAAAATTTAACATGCTGTCCTGAAATACATATTAAAGAAACTGATTGTTTTTAAAACCTTATTTTATTTTCTTTGCAATGATTATTTTTTTCTTTTCATCCAAACATAACCAATATAGTTGTATTTGTTAAGCTTACTCTATTAAAACCTGGAGAGTTATCTAGGATTTGTCCCTTACAAATCTAAACGGGTTTTGTGAGAAAATGGCAATGGCAACCCCACTAGGGAGAAGAAACACTACCCTCTGTAGAGGTCTGAGAACATATAGTAACAGTACAAAGATTAAATTTAGGAGGATGGGTTAATGTCCTTTTTCTCTGCCACATGAAGGCAACCCTCATTAATGCCTCAGTGAGGTACTTCAGTACCAACGTCCCCCTTCACTGACCAACACACTTTCTCGTACGGGAAAATTATATTTAGTTTTTTCATTTTGTTTTATTTTCCACATGCTATTGTCTTAGAAATATCACTTAATCACTATAATATATATTATTTATATTTACCTAGATAATTTAGTGCAGCAATTTTTATTTTCAATGGCCTAAAAAGTAATAATTTTAATTAAATAGACTTTAAAATAATTTAAACTAATTTACACAAGGCAGATCATAACGAATCACCTTATTCAAGGCATCACTTTTATCTATCAATAAGCATTGAAATGGGGTATAATAAATTTGGTTTCATAAACTTTTTAAGTTTAAACTATTTCCAAATAAGATTTGATATAATTTTTTTTTCTGAAATTATGAGTATAAAAAGGTTAAGTTAAAATTCATTTTACAATAAGATTTCCAGAATGAGTGAAAAAAACTTAAAATAAGTTAATAAAGTTATATTTATATTTATATAACGCCTGCACTTAGTAGTATATTTTTTTTCTCGTGCTACATATATAATACTTTATAATCTAATTCAGACTTTCAGAGACAATTATTTAGATTTTGAGTAATAATGCGCAATAGATATAGAATAATAAAGATAACTTCTAAAATTATTTCTTTTCTTTTCGTCCAATTTTCATCGCACTTATTTCTATAGATTTCCAAATAATATTCAAATTTGGACATATGTATATTTAACCATTGGAGTTTCTCCACACGAAATTACGAACACATTTTTTTTCCCTCTCTTTAACGCTTGTTATATCTAACCTTTGTTTTGGTCTTCTGATCATGCATCCAATTTCATCTGATATGATAACAGGTGGACTTCATTATGCATGGCATCAATTTAAAATATAAGTAACACGCTTGATAACTAAAAAAGATTCTCATAAAGTGCTAAAATTGGAAATTTGGGGAAGAAAATTATCAATAAGAAGCAGGCCGTACTTAAATTACAGACATGCTCAGTTAGAGTTAAGCCAATTTTCCCAATGAAAATTTATTTATTTGTAATATATAAAAGATAAAGTAGAGGTTATAATATTGACTTTTAAGCATCTCAGTCAACATACTTCTTACCATGTCAAGCTCTTATCTCCAATATCACTTTATGATTCTATTCTTCATTTGTTCTCTTTAGAACATATTATCTCCGTTTAGTTCCCATAATCATATTACTTTTGTTGCCAAATAAATGAACGGTTGTAATTCACTTATCCATAAGTGACTTAAATAAATGAACATCAATGATAAATTTATTAGCTTCTGTTTTTTCCCATCCACTCTCGCCGCCTTTTGGATCATCATTTTTTAATATTGCATTCTACTGTCTGTATCAGATAATCACATTTAAACCACCGTTATATATATATATATATATATATATAGTGAAAAATCTCATCAGTTTAAAATAACTTGTTTTACATATATTTGAAGTATCTGTTCAACGCACACGTTTATGAAATGTATAGATGCTTTATTTTTATCCATTGGCATATCTCTTTCAACATTTAATGGTACTACCTACAATATCGTGGAAGCATATATTGTAGGTAGAAACAAAAAAAGTAGCCATACGGAAAAAGGTTGGACATAAAAACAGCTTTCACTTGTGTAAATGTATGATGACACCCCCCACCTTGCACAAATCCTTATAAGTGGAAATCTTCTATGGGAGTTTCGTTAACTTAACTCCTTCAAATTAAGGAATGCCAATTCACTTTATTCTAAAGTCACATTTCTCTAGAAAGTAGGAAATAATACTTGTTTTTAACTATCAAATTGATGGCATATTGATTTTTTAATATATAGTAACTCGGTGCACCTTATAGGATATATAGTGCATAGTTGCATATAGTCAAAATATGGCGAATTGATTACCCAGTGCAGCTACTTCTTTTCAAAAGCTTTACCATATTTGTATGTCTTTCCGAGGAATATGTATAATATGAATAACGAATAGGAATAAAACATTATCTCTAGGTCGACACAAGAGATATCTTTCTCTCTCTGTGTGTGCATATATAAAGTTATATATATAGTAGAAAAATGCACATATTGTGATAGGGGTTGCATATCCACACATTCTGTGTTGGAAACTAAAAATGTTGGATACCCATCATGAAATTTTGGAAATGTTGACGCTGTACCACCCATTATAAAGAAAATTCTTTGCCACAAGTGCATAACTTTAGAGTAAGTAATACTAGGATAGATAGATAGATAGATAGAGATGGAGATATTATTTATACAAGTTGAAAAATAGAAGATAAGGTGAGATGAGAGTGGTTTGAAGCACTGGGTTGGGAGGAAAAGGCGGAGAAGACGACAAACTTGGCAATGGGGTTCCTTCCACTCTCGACTGCAAATGAGATGGGGCCTGTACCATATCTTCTCATAATAGTCAAGTGTTGTAAAAATATGTGCACAGAGATTCAAGAATATAAAAGAAAGAAACAAAAGTAAAAATTAAAAATAATTTAAATATATTAACTATGATTCAATCATAAACTATTGTATTAATAAAAATCATTAATTTTATATTATAATTAATTGATAGTATAGAAATAGTTATACAGAAAGTATACTAAAATCAAATTGTAAAAATAAAGCAATGTTATTTTAAAATTGGGTGTGCATAAATCGTAATAGTAATGTTGGTGGTAGTTTTAGAGAGAAACAAATGGAGGGTAGGCTGGACCCTGAGGTGGTGGGGAAGTGGTAATGCAGAGGCACTGTACCAATTTTTTTGTCATCTGAGAAGTAGACAGAGGCAGTGGATACTTCTCTACTACCAATTATTGTTATCATTCTTTTACTGCTTTCTCAGAGCAGATACCTCTCTCCATTTGCGTGTGCCGTTGTCTCTGTCTCTTTGTCTTCAAGCTCATTCTTGGCTTTTTTTATCGTACGTATGAGAGCATCACCAATGTATAAAAAAAGGCACACATTCACAGAAACACAACACCATTCGCTAATTATATCTTTCTTTCCACCCCTTTTCATCATAACTCATTCCTCCACCATCTCTTTTGCCTTCTGCTTCATTGGCCTAATTAAAATACCCATTTAATAAATTATTATTAAATAAAAATTTATAACTTATTAAAATCAGTTTTAAAAAGTATAAGTTATTTCTATGTATTTTTTTTTTTTGGATAAATGTATATATAACATTAGAAACTCTTTAAATAAGTTACTCTAAACGTTGTTTAAAAGCTTAAACCGTTGAAAATGCATATTCTATGAATATTTTGACACATGATTGAAATTAATATCTTCAGTTTTATTTAGTTATTTATTTATTTATTGTCTTTTGGCGTCATGGTCTGTGTGTATGTTTGTTTCCTTGCTCGTCCTTCCTTTATTTGTCGTACAGACACTATGGAAAAGGGCATTAAGAAGCATATCTTTCTACCCGTTTTTCATTGCTACTGTCACAACTCGTCCACCACTAATCATTCTGCCATATGTGCATCGTGAGATGAAAAACATTACAAAAACATATAATTTCCTAAATGTAATGTTTCTCGCATACAGACATGCGTCATTCAATCATGTACAGTGGAGGGTTGAGAAAAAATTGGAAAGTTAAATAATACATACACTGTCATGGGACCAATTTTCATTGTATCATACGCACATTACGGAATTGTACGACAATGATTAAGGGAATGTGCAATTAGAGTTAGATCCACCAACTTTAGGGTTATATGTAAATAATCAAGTCATGGGCAACCATAGTTTATAACTATCATTATCACACTATGATTGGGAGCGTTTAGTAAAGGAGATTTTTTCCCCTTCATTTCATTTGTTTTAAAATAAATTATTGTTAAAAAGAGGAAGAAGAATATGACACTAAGAAATGAAATGAAATGGAAGTGAGTTTATATATATGGGTTAGGCTCAGTTTTGAGGGTCTTATTTTCCATTTTTAGACAGTCAAGAGTTTTGCCCTTTGGGGAAGGGAACAACGCGAAAGTTAGGCAGAAACCGCTTTTGTTTTCCTTCAAAAACAAGCGACAGCTGAATGGTCCTCAGGAAAAGCAATAAAAGACGCATTCTTTCTTTATTTTATTTTTTCTCCCATCTGTAGTAATTAATTAACACGTAAACTTGTCCATGAAGATTATAATTTAAAAATATACTGTAATCTTAATGTACTAAAATATAACAATGGATATCCTCTTAACGCTTTACATAAAAACCGAGTTTAACGGAGTTCTTATTACTAACGCAACTACCTAGAAAAAGTTAAAAAAAAGATAATCATTGTGGGAAAACTAGGGGGAAAATCTTGTATTTCCTACAGTACAAGCCAATCTCATTTGGATTCTCCCCAAGGAATAGGAACTTAATTAATTGGTTAATTAATTTATATTGTGTTTGGCGGTGGGTACGATGAGAGGGTCGGTTTCAAGGGAGGTTGTCTTGGTAAGCTCCTCATCCGTGACTACAATCTCCTGAAGACAAGCATGATGATGATTGTTGTTGCATTCTGTTTGAGTGAATGTGGGTAACATGGTAGAAGCAGCACTAGCACTAGTAATAGAAGTTTTAGTGAGTTCCTTTGCTCTTTGTACCTGAGCATTCCAATCAGTGGTTGAGAGAACAAATAACATGAGAGAAGCACAAGAGGCTTGGGCTGCAAGCAACCCAAGCCAAAGCCCGGCAAACCCCAATTTGGCGACAAATCCAAGAAGAACAGCGACGGGCATACCCACCAAATAAAAGGAGCCCAAGTTGATATTTGCACCAATGGTGGGTCTAGCACTGCCCCTAAGAACTCCACAACCAGTGGTTTGAGGGCAGTTTCCGAGCTCACAAAGGCCAACAATTGGCAAAGCTATGGCAGTGAGGTTAAGAATCTCTTGGCCAGTGGTGAAGAACCTGCCCCATTGGTGCCTCATTAAGGTGGTGAAAAGCATGGCTGAGATGCCTAAAGCGACAGCACAAAAGAGTGACACTATCATGGAAATGCGAGCTTTGGAGGGGTTGTTTGCACCTAACTCATTTCCCACTCTCGTGGACACACCGAGGCTGAGAGATGATGGGAACACATAGACCAAAGATGTTGTTTGGATAAGGATTCCCATTGAAGCAATGGTCGCTTTCGGGTTGACCAAAAGTCCACACAGAATTATCATGAGCTCGTACCACCACCACTCTAGACAAACCGAAACACAGGTTGGAACCGCAAGTGCAAGTAAAGAAGACCAACCCTTTAAACAGTCCATGCTCGGAGAAACCCACGAGTCCTTGTACACACCCGAGAAATAAACAAAGGAAAAGAGGAAGAGGAAGAGGTTGAGGTTGGTCCAAACCATTGCTGTGGCTACCCCTGCTATGCCCATTTTGAAGTGAACGACTAGGAGGAAATTGAGAGGCACATGGAGGAGAACAGATATGGCTGAGCAATATGTGAGTGGCAATGTGATTGTTTGAGTCCTTAGGTAGATGCGTAGAGGGTGGAGGAGTGAGAGGAAGAAGAGGTCAGGGATGGAGAAGAGAATGAAAGTTTGTGCCACTGATGATATCTCTTGGTCTTGGCCACACCACAAGAGGATACTCTTCATGTTGAGCCATAGAAATGAGATGGGAATGGACGTGCAGAGGAGGAGAAGGACGGTTCTTTGGAGGGTCAAGCCTAGTATCTTCCATTGTTTTGCTCCATAGGCTTGTCCACAAATGGGTTCCATTCCCATGGCTAATCCAGAGATCACAGAGTAACCGGTGATGTTGGCAAAACCGATGGAGAGAGAGCCACCTGCTAGTTCCATCTCACCGAGGTAGCCAAGGAAAAGCATGGAGATCATGGCTCTAGAATATAAGAGTAAACCCGTGATGGCTGTTGGCCCTGATATCTTCCCTATGGCCTTCATTTCTGCTAAGAACTGAATGCAGCAAAACAAAACAAAAGAAAAAGACAAATGGTTATTATCAAAGGCATGCTGATCATAAACTGGCATGATTTGTTTTTCATCATGTGATGTGACTATGCAGATAGTAACTTGCAACTTCATTTAATTTTCAATCACAAAAAAATGATATAAAGCTGGTTGGATTTTTTTTAATATTTTCTTTTTCTCTTTCTCTTTCTCTTTCATTAATTACCTCGTTAGGAGTAGGCCATCTATGAAGTTCATCTTGAACCTGATCATCATCAGGAGAATGGTTTATGGGTTTGGGGTTGGAAGTTACGAGGTGGGTTTTTGTGTGACACAGAAATGGGGATGCCGAGGTTGGCTTGGGATTGCACATGATAACTTGCTGGCTAGATATTAGTTCAAGGCTTCAAGCTGAGGTTTTGAATATATAGAGGAGTTGGAGAGAGAGAGAGAGAGAGAGTTTGAAGTTTTGGATAGATAACAAAGGGTTGAAGTTGAATATACAAGAAGGTTGAGGTTTGGTTCCTGGTGGCTTAGGCTTGGTGATCGCGCACTGTGTTTGAAGTTGTTTGAGGGAATATGAGAGGATTTTGTTTTGTGTATGGCAGGGAGAGGATGAAAGTGTGTTTATATGCATGGAAGGGCTGGGCCTACATAGGTATCGTGTCATAAATGGAAGCAAATGCTATAATTTATAGTATATGAATATCAATTAGAGGGGGAAATATTTTTAAAAACTTTTACCCACCCAAAAAAATAGAAGGATGAAAGGGAAAAGCAAGCTTCAACGGAAGAAATGGTTGATGGAGGTTTTGGGAGGCAACCGACCTATAATCTTTCTCTCGAAATTGAAGAGTATATATATATTATTATAATCATTATTTATTAAAAAAGTGAAAAACAATTTGGTTATGGCATCTGAATAACAACAGCACATAAAGCTTTCCTTACCTTTTAGCGCGGAGGGGAAACAAAAGTTCGGTCTTATCTTTTGGATTGGTGAAACTCAGAAAAAAGATGGGAGTTTTTTTGATACATAAAGATGGAAGGATTTATTCGCTTTAATGGTTATTTTAGCGGTCAAATCATGACAGTTTGATTTGATTATGATGGGCATAATCGTGGTTTAAACCCGCCGGGTTATTAATGGATGGATTGCATGTGGATAATCTTTTAAAACACCACATTTGGCTTTTGATTTCCCTGTATGGAACAGAAAGAATTTTATCCTGACAATGCCAAGTGGTAGTGATCGAGAAGCCAATTCCCCTACTTGTGACATGAAGCCTTTATTATTAATATTATTACTATTATTTTTAATTCTCCCTTTTCCTTTTCCCTTTTTGTTTTCTGTTGGTGTGGCATGGGGCACTTTTGAAATGACAAGGGAATACACAGTTGGTATTTGTACATAGTATTAATTTTAACTTACTTTTACTATAACATATTTTGTTTACTTTCCGACTGTGGATGTTAGTTACTAATTTGTAGTGCAAGCAAAATATTTGGCATTGCATTGCATGTTCTTTAAGGTAGCCAAGCCATGCATGTCCTATTCTTCCTCAACCCATGTCATAAAACCCATTCCTAAGGCAACCACTGTCTATATATAGACCATCTGAAGCACTCAAAAGGCCAAAACATTACCTTGACTACTTTTTCTAACAGAGGAAACAAGTTTTCTCTTGCATCCAATTTTGGCCCCACAGTGTTTTATGCCCCTTGCTGTATTATCACTTGTTGAATGTTTGATCCCCTGGCCAGCAGATAGGTTGAAATATATAGTGGACGAATGGCCACTAGACCATGTTATCAAGTTATACATATATTGCAATTTGGGGAATTTGTTTGCGTCATGCAAAAGATAAAAAATAAAAACTTAGTAAGATTTCTAAGCAGGATCAAATACTCGTCAATCACAAGTTCGTTGCCTTGTATTTATGTTTCAACCAAAGCTGAGAGATTTGGCTTGGCATTTCAAAAAAGTAGTTGTGTTTCTTCCTGGGATTTCATTTTAAGCAACAAAAGGTCAAATCGAGTGGATATTATATTACACCTTTTTTTATTTTTTTCAATTTTCCTTTTACAAAGGTTATCTTCATGGATATCTATATCTATATCTATTACATATGCAAATATATGTATGGATTATGGAGGTAGGTGTTGGTGTCATGGAGGGACCACCAGTGGTGTTAATGGAGAATGATGGTAGCTGGCCGTATGGAGAAGAGACAGATGGGAGATGGGAAACACTGGAGAGAGAATTACGTGCTCCAATTACAACCATTTAATCTGTATCACGAATGGGATGGAATTGAGATGAGTGTGTCTGTGTATAGGAGAGCATGGGGTTCGTATATGAGGAAACAGAAACAACTCTGCTCTACCATCATTGGCCCAAACACACAGCAGATAAACCCTCTCTTTCTTTTCCCTTCCACTCTGACCAACTTCAGAAATCAGTTTTATTTTGTTTCACTGTATATAAGAAAAAAAAAGTATTATAAATTCCCTGAAACCCAAGGCCATCCCATGTCAGATTCCATGTGTTTGTAGCTCACCCAGTTGTAGTGAGTGAAAGATATGTATCATGCAAGGGAACCAATGCTTTGAAATTAATAATAAAGCTACAGCAAAAGTTCTGACAATGGACAAGCCGAAAAATGAATATGAATTGAAAGAAACCCATCTCGAATTTGGCACCCTAATTGGATTGGCAAAGTGCAGCCGAGTAAGAGGGATTCGGTTAAATGAATTTAAACAGACGCTAGTTCAGGATCACGTCATGATGGCGTCCATGTTTACTGTCATCGATTAAAAAGAAATCTCAAACACAAGTTGTCATAGTGGAGATCAGTCAGAATTTCTTTGGACGTATCAAACGACTAAAATGCAAGCTTCGGGAAAAGAATGACAAGACAATAGTTTAACTTTGACATTAACAACGATTATGCTCGTCTAGAAGCTCGAACAGATTCCCTAATTGCGTTCCTCCAACCTTCTCCACAATTGTAGAGACGTGGGATGCACTCCTCACCGGGACAACTCACTCCTTTCCCTCCGACTCAATTTGCTATATCTTGGTTTAATTGACTGATATAACACTAATGAATTCCACCATAAAAGCTACATAAATTATAATCTACAGAGATGTACACTAACGTCTTCATGGACGAAATCCAGATAGCATACCTCTTAGAACTCTGCTGAACAGTAGAATAAGCATGGCCTGCAGTCTATCATGGAAAGCATGCACCCAACATTTACCAGTATTATTAACAAATAAAATGAATCTAACTTTTATAAATCACGCATGATAAACTATAAATGTGTATTCATTCACTTAATCCTCTCATCAGCAGTTAACACCAATTACCTGCAAAAGCTAAATCCAAACATTACAAAAAGGTTTGCAGGCTAACCAGACGGGAAAATTCCAGTCATTGCAGTTGGCACGTGGTTCGAAGAACGGATCACGTATAGTTAGGACAAATGATGATATAAAGGTTGATATTTTTAAATGCTCTTTGAATCTTAGTAGCAGGCATTGTACGAAGAATTGAAAGCAAATCAGACTTTCATGAATAGTGAAGTGTATTAAAAACGAGAATTTATTCCATGGTTCAAAAGAAGTAAGATAAATTAAATGTACACATTAAATGACCATTATAAATCAAACCCGTCGTTCAAGAATTATTTTAAAATAAATATACCATGCCCAGAAAAAATGGGGGCATTAAAACCATGTCTCAATCGAGGTTTCCATCAGCACAATTAGCATATTCACTGTTGGCCACTAAGCGCATTCATCAAACTAATGCAAACAAATCGCAGAAATTTCTAAGATTCCAATACATCATGCTTGATGCACCAACGCACAATCAGCATTGCCTCAAAATAAAAGAATTTTTCATGAGGAATAATTCCCAATCGGCAGCAATTCTTCTTGGCTGGAAAGGATGTTGCCCGTAAGTAATTTTGGAACACAAAGAAGATGCCCTAACTATTTTCCCACCGCATTTAGCCTTTAAAAGCAACATCTTACACAGGTGGGACTGATTTACAATGAAGAAATTCTCCACTGATGGCAGATAATCTTTCAATCAGTATTTTGGTGACAGCTTTTATGATTACATTAGAGTTGCCAGGATGTTTGGAAAAGTAGTGCTATGTGAATTGCTTCGTTTACATTGTTCCTTGTACACTAAAAAAAATCATCCTTTCTTACAGCCAGTAGAGGGTCCCTCATGGTTAACAAAGCAGACCATTCTCACTGTTTTAAACAGACCACTCACTCATCACGATCACAGAGGAGAGAGAGAGAGAGAGAGAGAGAGAGAGAGTCTAAAGCTTCCAAAACTTCAGAAAATAATAGCACTCAAAATTTACCTCATTGGCTATAAATAATGACCAATAAGATGAAAACACATCCATGTATTCAATTATTAATATTGGAAAAAGATTGGGCCGGGTGGGGGTTATATTGATGAGGGGAGACTCAACAGAAAAACTACAATCAAGCAGAAGTAAAGCATAAGTATTTACAAATTTTGGCTACCTGTTCATTTCCATTATCCCTCTTTCAAAAGAAATCTGTGTCAAATGAAGAAAGAACATGATACTTCACACTTGGCTTCTAGGCTTTTGACCACCAGATCGAGGAATGGCAAAGACAGCTATGAATCCACTGACAATGGCTGCAACAGCGGCCACAGCAAAGGCCGGAGAGTTTCCTCCACCAAATAGCTGATCCCATGGTCCACTTCCCACGGACACCACCATCTGTTTCACACATTGATAAACAAACATAAACTCAGCGGCACAAAATATGCAAATCCAATGCGCAACTAAGACCTTCCATACAATTTTTTGTCTACAGAAGATAACTTACCATTACTATATTAACTTTAAAATTATTCATAAATTTAATTTTTGCAAATAGTTCCATAATCTAGGCATACTACCTCTATTGAAATTTGTCAAGTAGTTACTTGAAATGTGATATTTGGAAGAAAACAAGAGTGCAAATCAAATTTTCATTAAATCTGTATGATAGTACAAAATTGCCCTTGCCACTATGTCTAAATCTCAACATCATTCTTTGTCTCCAACAATATCTAATTTCAGACTTCGAAGGATTAAAAAAAGTGAATTTATTCAGGCTATTAATTTAAGTACTTTCTTCAGCAGCATGAATTGGTTTTCACATATGAGGGGGCAATGATTTGTGGTCATAATGAGGGAGCCAAAACAAAGCAGAGCATGAGCCAAAGACATTGACCGTTATGTAAATCATGGGTATGGTGCATTTAATTGATCCTCTAAGATCCAAACTCAAATGCTGCTCGAGTCTTCTATGTGACAGACAATAGTGTTTGTGGGTGCGTGGGTGTGTGTAAACTTCATGAGTGAAAACACCAGCCAGACACAATGAAGGGAATATCATGCAAAGTCATAATGTCAAATCTCAGTAGCAAAAGTCAGTTTCTCCAGAGTTACCTCCTGTAGAGTAGGCGATTTGAAATTCATAGTGAATATTGTGTTTGTCCCTCAATCTAAACAATTTCTTTCAAATGATTTTAAAGGATTAAGCAGGAGTAAGTAAGGAAAAACTGTATTAAGTTGTGCAAAATTTTCTGTTTTCAACCTCAGGTATATTTCTCAGGAACAAAATGCTCATACTCGAGTGTCCTTATCTATAATCTTTCATGTGATACAAATCTCCGCCATGATTTCTTTAATTAAATCTTCTCGAGAGATATGCAAAGGGATAGGAGACTATTATTGTTTTTTTATGGAGATTGCTTTTGTGCCTTCTGTGAAAAGGATGTCCTGTCATACCTTTGTATTTCTCTCTGCTGCCTGATGTTATTTATTCTCTTATCAAATAATAATTCACAGCTTTTAATGTCTTACACTGTACAGATGAAAAGGCAGGAATAAGTTGACCAAATTAAAAGTTAAAACCATGAAGCATGTACACTTTTAAAAAAGTATCTACGTATAAGACACGTGTCAGACAGATTTATCAGGCACACAACACTAAAGTTTTCTATGTCAAAGTTCCCATGCCAATTTTCTTGTTTCTTAGTCAAAAGACATGCCAACTGACAGCAATTTGGCCCCAGCATGAAAATTACTGCACTAATGGTGGAAGAGACCTAATAGCCATGTTAAGGTTAAGGGCATTTACAGTACAGGATCACAGACTATAATTGTACTGCCTGTTGCCACATGGTATCAGAAGACATGCATCAACCTCATTTAATTGATTATTCAAATTATATTTTGTATCAAGTATGGTAAAACTGTGTGTGTTCACATTTAGTTCAAGACTCAGGACCACTTATCACATTTAATTGAAGATAATATACTTTTATTGTTGAAAGTTGAATAAGTTCACATTAACATGTATGGGGAACAATAAACAATCAACAACCACCCCCTCTCCCTAACTGAAAAAAAAGGATAATTTAACTTTAACCATTAAAAAAGTAATACCTGTGGGATCACTACTGCAAGATTTAGGACTCCCATTGACAATCCTGAAAGTACCAACATTTAATTTTTGTAGTTATACAATCATATATCCAAGAAAGAATAAATCAGGCATCAATTCTGCCCACCTTGGCCAAGCCCCAATGACTGAATATGTGTGGAAATTAAGGCATATGGAACACTGTAAGTGATCTGAAATAATTGATCAAAGAAGTCAGATTAAATTAAATGTAGGACTCTCAAAATTTATGTGTTTGCGTAAACTCATGCACAATTAATGAGGCCATTTCTAAACTTTCATCCGTGACGTCAAGATTCTCAAATTAAAAGGTAGAGTAAAAAATGCCACTTTGAGTTACGGAGATTAAGCAACCAAGACTGAGTCAAGATGCTTCTTCACATGTATGAGCCAGTGAGTTTTTTTTTTGAAAAATAATTCAAGAACATCATAACATGACTGCTTATTTTTAGGAACATAGAATGAAAGGGTCAGTTTGAGATAAGGAGATAGTGCAGTCAAATTCAAGTAATTATGATACTTCTTGTGTATGAACCACCGAAACGATGAAAAAAGAACAGGATTTGAGTCTTGTTTTACTGAACACAGTAGACTGAGAGCTGGCTTTGATATTAACAGAATAAAAAGAATGAACAGCGTGCTTTTAGCAGTAAATAGAGCAACTCACTGCCAGTGGAAACCCAAGAATGGTAAAGATTATCAATGAAGCTATCACAATGCTGGTTGGTGGTAGATCTTTGCCTAAATAGCCACTGTTATTTGCCACATAGGTTACAACAAGCATTGCAACAAAGCAGACAGCCATTAGAATATTTGAGATTCCCCACACAAACCCAGGCCCCCGCTTCCTGCATAGCCTCTCCATGAGTACTGACGTTATTCCAAGAACAACTGAATTAAGCAATAAACCAATTGCCCCCATTCTAACTCCATCATCATAATTAGTGCCTTCATTTGGCTCACCACCATAAATCTCTCGGCCCATCCAATCAGTATCAAATAGAAGAAATGGAAACCATGCAATCCATGTTAGAGCAGTAACAGACAGTATTGTCCATATAGGAGTTGAAAAATATCTGAATGTCCCAAATAGCTCCCACAGGAAAGCTTCTCCGGCAGTTCCTGACTCCTCTGTTGCTTCAGAATCTTGTGCCACACTTGAACTTAAAGGCACTTCATGAGCTGCTGTGATGCTGATATAGGTGGTGATGGCAATGAAAACAATGTCAAGGAAGAAAGCAGACTTGAGATTTGCACAACTAATATTGCATGCAGGGGTAACTGTAAAAGCAAAGACCTTGTACCAACCACTGTATGATCCAGCTGCATATCCAAGAATGTTACCAACAGCCATAAACAGGGAGTAATAAGCATTTGCCACGCGTGTTCTTCGATGATCCTTGCCTAACATACCAAAGAAGAAAAAGATAGATAAGAAAGTATGTCAATGCATTGTTTTCTTGTCAGAGATGATCATTTTTCATATGAATAATTTTTTTTTGTTGGGGGGAGGTGAGGGAGTTTATTTAGACATTGAAGGCCACCTTTGCAAAAAAAATTCGGACAAGGCAATGAAAATAAAAAAATAATTACCAAGCCCTTTTAATTTAACTGAGAATTGCATTCAGTAGTACACATTAAGAAGACAATCACATGCCCAGAAAGAAACAGGCAATAATTGATGCAGAACTAACTTATTTACAATTAGTCTGATTACATCCCACATTTATTGGGACAATTTTACCCATTTTTTGCAGAGGAAAAAAATCAGACTTTTATTCTTTCCTACTATTTATCAGACATGGAATAGAAGAAACTATATTATCTGCCAAGAATCTGGTACAGTATTTATGTTTTCTTCTGGTGGATAGCTTGGGATAAAGGTGGATGGAAGGAATAAAATCATCCCAGTAGATGCATGAAAAATTTGCAAAAATTAATTTACTATATAACATAGCAGGCTATATGCTCCTTTAGTTATTCAGTTTTAAAAATATGGCACCAAGTACATGGAGAGAATTCAAGAACGTATCAGATCTTAGTAAGAGATCTTTCTCTTAAAATTTAGGGGATATAGATCTCAAACAGGGAAGTCGTTGGAAGTAGAGAACACCGTGATTTGTAGAAATATTAACATCATGAGTTGAAAGTAAGGCTAAGAAGCTTGATACTACACGTTTTAAATTTTGGTATACAGGAAAAGTCAATGGAAAGAATCTAGCATCATTGTGGATAACATTTGAAAAAAAAAAAACATGGTAAAAATTAAAAGGATTGGAGATAGGATCATATATTTTAAGTTATTGATCGCATAAGATCTTTTGAAAGGTACTATTAATATCATTAGTACCTATACTCCACAAGTTGGCTCAAAAGTTCTTTTGAAAGCAAAGTTTTTGGAGTATTTAGAAGGGTTATTCCAAAAATTTCATAGGCTAAAAAGATTTTCATAGGTGTAGACATAAATGGTTATGTTAGTTGTGAAACAAGACAATTTATAAGGGTTCATGATGATTTTGATTTTGGAAAGTCAAATGAGAAAGGACAATTTATTCTTCATTTCTCAATGGCCTACAACTTCAAAATTATGAACACTTGTTTTCAGAAAATGGAGAAGCATCTTATCTTATCACTAATAAAAGTAGGGTCTCAAGGTTGCAAATCGATTTCGTTTTTGTAAAGAACCTAGACAAAAAAATTTGCAAGAATTGTAAAGTAATTCCAAGAGATAACCTTATTACATAACATAGGATTTTAGTCATTGATGTTCATTTCTTGATTGACAAATAAAGAACTCAACAAGTTATTTTTCTAAGAATCAAGTGATGACTACTTAAAGATGAAAAACAATTAAACTTTAAGAAGCAGTTAGCAAAAAAAGATAATTGAGATGCACAATGTAGAGTTAACATCACTTGAAACAAAATGGAAACAAAGGTAAGGAGAGTTGTCATGACCAATTTTGAGTGAATCTAGTTGTCTTGGACTAAAAGACAGAGGATCATGGTGGTCAAATAATTATGTGCAAGAGAAAATTAAAGATAAAATGATGTGTTTTAAAATTTGGTTGTATGCAACAATGTTGAAAATTGGACAAGGTATTGGAATGCAAAAATTGAGACAAGAAAAAGAGTAAGTGGAGCACAATCTAAGGCTTTTGAGAATTCTATCAAAATCTTGGAATAAAATATGATGAAAGAAACATATATAAGTTTATCAAAAATAGAGAAAGAAAATATAAAAATTTAGACCAAGTTAAATGTATTAAAGATAAAAAAAAAAAAAAGTTTTGGTTACATATTACGACATCAAAGGTAAATGAAATAATTATTTCTATTAACTTTTTAATGATAGATAAGGAGCAAATGAAAATATAAAAATATTATAAGTGTAAGTGACTGATTTAAATTTCACATGTTGTAGAATTCAAGTTTGAGAAGTAAAGGAAACTCTTAAGATGGGATAATAGTAAAGGAGTTGGCTCCAATAATGTCCAATCTTGAAGTTTGAAAATGTATAGGAAACAAGAAATTAAGTGGCTAACTAAGCTCTTTAATAAGATTTTAAGATCTAAGAACATATCAAATGAATAAAGAAAGAGTTCTTTGATTCCTATATACAAAAACAAAAGCAATATTTAGAATTGTGCAAATTACAGATAGATTAAATTTATAAGTCACATTATGAAGTTATGACATAAAAGTGATTGAACATAGATTACAAGATGAAACTCAGATTGTAACAAAAATCAACTCTTATCCCATTAAATGAGATCAACTACATAAATCACACAACACCATTGAGCTCAATTAAAAATCAAATTCTCAAAAATATTATTAGTTAAAAGAGTTCTTTTAATAACTTTTTCTAAGGTTTTTTTAGGTCTCTCTTTACCAAACTAAATGTCATGTTATTCACTCTCATCATTGGTGCATCCAGAATTCTTTACATGTAACCAAACCACTTTAGAAAATTAATTTTGTTCTATGTCAATAAGATATATAACAAATTATATATCTTTTACGAAATTAACAAAAAAGTATCACTACTAAGAAAAAGACATACATATGATTTTTATAGACTCGGAAAAAACATATAATCTTGTACAAAAAAAGTGGTACGGAAGGCTATAAAAACAAAAGAGGTCTGCGTAACATATATTCAAGCTATACAAGACATGTATAAGGGAATAATTACATGTGTAAAAACTCTTGAAAACATATCTAAAGACTTACTTCTAAAGATAGGCTTATATCAAAGCTTTGCCTTGAGCTCTTTCTTGTTTAACATAATTTTAGATGTGTTTACAAGTGACATAAAATATTATCTCTGAGTTCATGCTCTTTGCCGATGACTTAATGTTGGTAGAAGATTCAAAAGAGTAAGTTAAAGTTAAACTTGAGTTATGAAGGAAAACTTTGAAATTTAAAGGTTTTCACTTGAATAGAAGTAAGGTAAAGTATATGCATTGCAATTTAGTAAAAAACAAGATAAGGATTATGCGTTAGATATTAAAATTGGAGATGATATTTGATAGGAGTGAAAATGTGAGCTTAGACAGTTAGACCATGAGAAAAGGCCCAAGGTGTAAAGAGTACGTAAGGAGAAACCAGAGTAAAAGGAGTAAAGATGAAGTAACAGGATTGTCAAACAGTGAGGAATGAAGATTTGGTGCATATAGGGAATGATTAGGAGAGAGAAAAGGAGACTGATTTTTGGAAAATTCTATTATGGATAAAGGGCAATAGCCTCTCTGAAGGAGCTATGCATCATGGCAGTGGGATTGTATTTCTTTTTGTATTTTTTTTAATAGCAAATAATACAATTATTTCCTGATTTTCTCAGTCATTTCTATTGTCTATTTTCTGGTTTATAATAATATTTAACCACAAATCTCCAAGTTCAAGTAATTAGAATCAATTCTATCAAATAATAAAAATTTAATGATATTATTCATAAAATACAAGGTAAGTAGTTAAAAATTTAATAATAATTATTTGTAACCTTAAAATTACCTATCAAAGTGAAAAAGAAGTTTTATTATAATACAATATGACTAACTATTTTCTATGGTAGTAAATGTTGAATATTAAAGAAAAAAATGAAAAAAAAATAAAAGTAACAAAAATAAAAATATTAAGGTAGATAAGTAGTCACACAAGAAATAATCATATGTGTAAGAATATTGCAATAGTAATTATATTGAAAAAGAATATTGAAAATCATCTAAACTTGTTATGATATAATTGTAAAGCAGTAATAGGAAGAAAAACACACAAAAATATAACATTGTTAGTCAATGTAACCTCCTTCCCCAGGCATATCAACATATTTCTATTACTGTAATATGTGTATATACTACTACGTTCTTCTGCATTGAAAAAATATGTATTTTCAGCTTTTATAACCCAAAGTATATAAGAATTCATAATTCACCAAAGTAACTTATAACTTCCTCCTTATTACAACTCATTAAAATAATAACAATTGAAATACAAGAGACATCATAAAGTCCAAGTCATGCATAAATTCAAGACATTTCAAAACAATTTTTCTTCTTAACTTAAATTCCCTTAAATCATCAGTAACCAAGAACAACTCTCCTTATATTAAAAATATTTCATTTTTCTACTATTTCTTCTTTCCATACATTTGCACCTACATCATCTAACTAAGAACAAGAGACTATTATTTAGTTCTCTAGATTGCATACCATTCTTCATATCGTTAAATGTTAGACTTTTTTAATCACGGATATTTATGATGACACAAGAGCACTACAGCTAGGGATGAAAATAGGTCAAGCCGTTCGACAGGAATCTACGGCCTAACCTTTTAAAGCCTAGCCCAACTTAACTTATTTAATTAATAGACTTAATTTAGACTTTTTAAAAAGCCTAATTAATTAAATAGGTTAGACTTAAGTTTGAGAAAAAGTCTATTAAAATGGTCTATTTAAAATTTATAATAATATATTAAATAAATTGATATAAAAATTATATATTAAAATATTTTAAATCAATTAAATCTTAAAATAATAAAATCTTAAATTAAAAATCCTAATCCTTTTCGTTAGAATTGAAAAAAGTCTCTACTACATATTCTCTAAGAGAGAAAAACACTACTTGTTATAGTTTTTTGCATATCTTATATGCATAACACATATTTAAATTGTATGGTTTCAATCACTTCTATGTTATTTGAAAGTGATAAATAAGAATATGTAATTTTATTATACATATTCAAGATGTTGAATAATTTTTTTTAATAGTTTATTTATATATAAGTCTTATGACTTGTAAAAAACATACCTATTTAGATAGTTTAATAATTTATTTACAAAAAAATTTAGTAACCTATTGAATATCTTAATATAAAATAGGCCGTTAAAGAGGTTAATAAGTCAAATTAAGCTTTTAAAAAGATCAGACTAGATTTAATAAAAAGTCTAGGACAAATAATAGGCTAGACTCAGACTTCAAAATTATTAAACAGGTCAGACCTATATATGTAAAGTCTAGCTTAACTTAATTTATTTCCATTCCTAACTACAACTATCACCGCCAATCGTCATTAACAATTAGGCTCCAATGCCAATGTTTTTTTTCAACTTTATACCACTATTAACTCTCATCAATAGGACATGCCGCCTAACCTTCACGTTATTAGAAAGACTTTCGATTCAATGATCCCCTCGCATAGATCTACCACCATTCTCATACTTGTATTGAGTCAGTCACCTCAGTGAACTAGGCTCTGATACTACTTGTTACAACAAAAATGCCAAAGGATTAATAGGAAGAAGAAGAATACACAAGAATATAACATAGTTTTTCAAAGTGACTTACGTCTAAGTCACAGGCATATTAAGATATTTCTATTTACTGTAATATGTAAATACACTACTACTTTTTGCTACATCAAATAAATGTGTCTTTTTAGCTTTTAAAGCATAGGTACATAATAATTCATAATTCAACATAATAACTCACAATTTCTCATTACAACTCATCAAAACAATAACAGCTAAAATACAAGAGACATCACAAAGACCAAGTCATGCACAAATTCAAGGCATCTCAATAATAAACTGATTTGGTTAAGTGCAAAGAAAGTCATTGAAAGCACCAACGAAAAAAGTGAATGGCATGACTTTTAGTTTGGTAAAGAAAAGTAGAAAAAGATCTATTAATTAATAATATTTTTGAGAATTTAGTATTTTACTAACCTAATTGGAGTCATGTGATTTATATAGCTGACCTCACCTAGTGGAATAAGGTTTAACTGTTGTTATATAGATCTCTAACAGGATGCAAATCCTACATCTACCAAGGGTAGACCTTTAAAGTCCCAACTCCCATATAAAACTTTGTGCTACGTGAATATAATAAAATATTTATTCAGTCCCATGACCACTTCCCAAAATCACCCACCTTAAAGTCCCCCACATCCCCTAAAACCCACAGAAAATTTTCTGCTCCTTGGCTTCCAATAGTCTCTACACTATATACATTTGTATTGAGGATTTTCCTTGAAATGATAACATGCACTGAACATCATAGATATTAGATAGGCACAAACAGTCGTGTCACGTAGTAAGTTTAAGAATACAAACTTCCACTTTAGTGTCGCAAAGGCTTTCAACAACCTTGGCACCAGATAACAGCATGACTGACACACTAAAACAACATTATGCCCTCTTTATTCTTGTCAAAACCTCTGAATTTTAACAGAAAGTAGTTCAAACTGTAGCTCTTTATAAATTAGGAGTTCTGAGACATGGTGAAATCCATATTACCATAAAAGTTTAGAATGGAAGACTGATGCAAAGAAGAAAAAGTACGGCAAAACTATACAGACATGGAAAAGCATGTATACTCCAAACAAAGAGCCCTTCAAAATCTAGCACCAGAAAGATTATTTCCCTTCAAATATTGTAAATTAAGGGTCTAGATCCAGAACAAACCCCATCTTCTGTAGGCCTATAGCAAATGTCGTGACCATATAAATGATCTAACCTTTTTTCCCTCTCCTATCCTTGAGAAAAGAAATTTTCCAATTATATTCTCCATCCTGTACACAAACTCTGTTCAATGAAGATAATTACTAAAGGGCATGATAGTCAAAATTGAGATTTTACGTAGGATCGGAGAGGGGATTCAGGATCATAACTCGTAGGATCGTAACATGGAACATAAGATCTTACAAAATTGTATATGCATATAAAATATTTGACTTTTCGAGCCAAGTGATGCTTCAATCGATAAGCACCTCCCACTTACAATTTTTTGGCAATATTTGCATTGAATTTTTCTTGTACCTTCAATTATAATCCCATGTTGCCATGCTACATCACTTTTATTTCCCAGTGCATTCTTTGGTAATGACTTGGAGGGAGGAGCTTGACTACTAGTTGAAGCCATTTTATTTAATGGTAGCAAACAGCAGTAGCACATAAAACAGAAAGCAGAGCACAAAAGCAAAAAATGAAGAAAATCCCAATCACACGCAGCAGCCAAGATGATGAAGATGAAGAAGAAAAAAACAGAGCATAGAAAGCAAAAAATCTCAGACCAAATCACAGAAAAAATTCCAGTCGCCGGAGCTAAGCCCAGTCACCGAAGCTGAATTGCAGTCGTCGGAACCAAATCACAGTCACTAGAGCCTCGCAGAAAAGTCGCACAACAGAGACACCCAATCTCGCAGAATAGAGTGAAGAAGAAAGGAAAAAGTCGCAATGAGGAGTTATGGGATTTTAGGATTCCAAAAGCTTTAATGATGTCGGGTCGCGGGTCGTTGGCCCAAAAAGCCTTCATCTCTACACATCGGAATCGCACATCTTCAACGAGTTTACGACCCAGTAAGAATGATCCCACCATTTCGTGTTCCAAGCACCAATTCAGCACGGAGGCATGGATGGAATAATGTTTCTCTCTCTTGGTTCATCAGTATAGTCCATATCTCAGGAATCTTCTTTTCTTTTGTAGTTTAAAAAATTAAATATACAGAAATCCTAAATTTGAATTATCCAATCATTTAAAGATCTTCAAAATTATAGGGTCTTAGGAAAAGAAAACATAAGGATTTCAACCGAAGGAACCTCTACAAATTAAATGGCCCCAAGGTGAACATGGCACACAGCCAAAGTTGCTGAAGTGTAAGACCTTGACTCTTGATATTTATAGTAGATAAATTGTTCTGTGCCAAATTCAAATCACAAAACACATCAAATCTAAGAAGGAGAGGTAGCAAGTTTAAAACATATACAAGTACAAAAAACTTGAACCAATTGCACGGAACCTGGCACAAGTAGACAATCAAACTGCTTCTGACAAATAATTGATCATGTTAAGTGACTCCCAATCCAAATAAGAACCATAATTGGGCATTAAAATTGTTTAAGTTCAAATGGAATATGCAATTTGAATAAAGATCAAATGAGACCAGCGGACATTATAAACAGAAATCAGCTGTACTCTAATTGTCATTACATATATCAGATAATAAATGACCAATGGTCTCAAATGCTTAGTAGATTGCACTAATTTAGTCCATGATTAGATAATAAATGTAAACATTTGTTGTAAATTTGTCCCTTATAATCCACTAGGTCACAACCTTATCCTTGAATAGACCTAGCACAAGTGACACGATCTTATCATCTGCAGTCTACATATCATATAAAACTACTGAGCTGCTGATCTATACCAAAAGCATAAAGTAATATTCCAAATTGAAGCAACTTTTCATTTACAGCTTTGTCACACAAGTTAACTTGCTGTAAATTGTGAGATCAACATTATCCAATACCCACTTTAATGTAATAATTAGCTATTATAGTTAGGTCCTAATTTTAATAGTTTTATGTCCACTTTAATCAGTTTAATGTCAGAAAAAATAAATAAACATCTTATTAATATCTAAGGAGGAAAGTGCATTTTCAAGCTAGAAGAAGGTGAAGAGAGTTAACTTTGATGCTTGTATACATTACAATGCGAGCCTTCATTTTTAAGTTGCTATTCTGAATCCAAGTTCATTAACAATATGCATATTAACTTTTATTATTTGTGTATATATGAAAGCATAGATCTACATAAAGCACAGATGAATTTTCAAAAGAATAAAGATACACACATCCAGAGTAAATACAGGAATTTCCTTTTAAACATTTAAAAAAAAAAGTTCCAATAGAAAAAATAGATCAGAAAAAGGGAGAGGGAGAGAGAGAGAAATCATAAAGCAACAATTCTTAGTAAGAATTTACTACGCAAAGTTATGTTTCTTCTTTTCCTCTGTAAGAAAAACTATCTGATTTTCTGACACAAGTGAAAATGTATAACAGATTCAGTTCTATATCCTAAGCTATCATCGATACTAGATGTCCTTCGTGAAGTGTGGGGAAAATCTTTTGTAAGTTTTAATTTCAGAATTGGAAATATTTCAATTTGATATGAATTGACAAAAAACCAGGAAATATAGGATATAACAATATTTGTAAATGAATAGAATTTTTAAACATATTATTCCAAACTCTGAAGTGCTAAAATGGTCCCATCTTCAAAACCCTAAACAGTACACTCTGAGAACAACACGACCCCCATTATGGAGATAAAATTTGCAGAGCTCATTAATTTGTCAATTCAATTTTAAATTCAAATGCACCCATTGTATGCTCAATTGCTGATAAACCATATTCTAAAACACTTCCCAAATCAATATTCAGTCAATTGATGTCCACGGCAAATACACCCATGCTTACAGAAGCTCACTTCAGACAAACAGACGAAGACAAACAAACGAAACCATGCTATTACAGAGAGATGCACAGCATCAGTAACCATCCAAGTCAACAATAGATGCTGTCATGTAATAACAGAGAATGACAGAATCACAACTACATATATTACAATCAAACATCCAGAGCTACAACATCATCCATAATCCAATTCCCAAAAACAAAACCAATGCTTCATGATTATTGAACAATTGGACAAAGCATAATCAGGAAGATTCACACATACACATTTCAGGTAAAAAAAAGTTCAATTTGGGCATTCATTTGGGCGTCACCGATCATAAGGAGGAAAAGTTTACCAGTGAGATCGCCAAGCAAAGCTCTACAAGGACCCTGAGTGACGTTGTTAGCCACATCCAAAATCCAGAAGCCGAAAACGAAAACGACGACAGCCCAGGGGCGATGGTTGGTAGTATCGCCAAGCCACCAGCCAACGTCGGCGGCATGACCAATGATGAGAACGGCGACGACAATCGACAATGCTCCGCCCAAAATAAACGGTCTCCGGCGACCGAACTTGCTGGTGCAGCGATCGCTCATGTGGCCGACGAGAGGCTGAACGAGGAGGCCAGAGAGGGGCCCACAGAGCCATATAATACTGGCCCACACGTGCGGGATCCCGAGCTGCTGCACGTACGGCGTGAGAAGAGAAAGCTGCAAGGCCCACCCAAACTGAATGCCACCGGCTACCGACGCAATCCGCAGCAACAACCTGAGCGGAACCCTTGGCTTCACCGCCGGTCGAGCCGCTGATCGAGGTTTGGAACGACGCTGTTGGCGAGGGTGGTTACGTTGAGTGTCGGTATTCGCCATTGTGTCTGAAGAGTGTTCCAAATTCAGAGGCCCTTGTGCCTCCCTCGCTTGCTTGTTTGCAATCTCCGCATGACCGTTTCCTCAGGGCATCGCGCGAGACTCGGATGAGAGAGAATGGGCAGAGAGAGAGAGAGAAAGGTGGTGCGCGTGCAGTGCAGCATCCTCTCATTCTGCTGAGACGGTGCAGTTCCAACATTGTAACTCTGTTTTGATGGGGGCCTTATTACATATATGCCCCCTCCACGGGATTTTTTTACTACCGAATCCACCATTTCAATTCCATTCATCTAGTTGTTCTGGTTGTGTTATTGGTACATTAGTTAAGATTACCGAATGACAATTTTACCCCTCAACAGAACTTCTGAGGAATTTCTGCGATGGTAAGTTTTACATAAACATGTTATGTCATGACAGAGGAACGCAAACGATAAAAGATTAATTAAACCTTATATGAAATTATAAAAAATGGGAGTTGAAAGGAAAGATAGAAACTACTCAGTATAAGTGGATGATAAAGGCTTGTGAATATTTTTTTTTTTAAATGTTATTTATGTGTGACTCTTTGACAAATAGTAATAAATGTTTTAATTGTACTAATTTAAAAACTGGAAATAAAAATGTTAAATAAGAAAAATTTTAATGTTTTAAAATGCTGTAACAAGTATCTATTTGATGCTTGCGAAGCAGTCTAACTAACCTTTTAGCTAGTATACTATATAATAGTTATTGCACTTTGAAGAGAATGTTCAGCTGAGTTAACAGGACCATAAACATCAATACCAACTCGTTTGGTAAAGGAATCCGTTTTTATTTTTTTCCAAAAACGAAAGGCCCTTGTGCATCTCTAAGCCCATATTTGTTGGATAGGATCCATTATTTTAAGGAAGGAGGGTCTTCCTGTAGCCCAAAAAACAGAAGGGGATGAGGGTTTTATGTCACCTAGATGACTAAATCTTTTCACATGAACTAGGGGACCATTCATGACCAAAAACAAAAGATATAAGTACTATTCTGTTTTTTTTTTAAAAATCATTTTTTTAATCCTAAAAATGCTTCTTGACTCTTTTTTATTTATTATTTTAAAAGAATTGTATGGGAAATGAAAAAAAATGATTGTTATTATTTTATTGTTTTCTATTCAAATTTAAAAATAAAATAAAATAAAACAAAATACTACTACTACTAAAAGTGAGTTGATGAGTCAATCCATTTAACTCTTAACCCATAACAAGTTGAGCAATCTTATATAATTTAAAATGTTTGTTAACAGGGATGGAACACTCTCTTTTACTTGTTGGAGCTCTGCCAAAAAAATCACCAACATTCCTTTGCGTTGAAGCCAGCCCGGTCATTAGGTCGGAACAAAGATGAAACTACATGGTTACAATGGTGGCTATGTTTATCAAATAAGACAATGGTATGTTAAAAACATGGGATAACAAGAACCATTGCAGTGCATTCGCTTACAGAGGATGGGCTTGACGACGAATCTGATCCAATATGGCTTTTTCTTCGCACCATTGGAAAATGGAAATGGGATATGACAACATGCCAACTTGCAAAAATCAGTGGACTTTAAAAAAGTGATAACATTGGTATGAGAGCCCAGTATCGTTTGCCAGCGAAAACTAATGCTACTCAAATGCGAACAAATAAATAATTCTAGTCTTGCACACCTCTCTGCTATCTCCAAGTAGACCACCACTCATTCAAAACTTCAAAAATAGAGGTATTAATATCAATAATTTCTAAAAGGAAATTTTGTTTTTCATAAAATTTTGCAAATTTTAACACTATTACAGTGAAGACACTGTAACACAAGAAATAAAAGCTAAAGGATTAAACTGAATAAAATTAAGAGTGAAAAAAAAAATCAATCTTAAATTTAAACTTCAAAAGGAAAAAAAAAAACTTTGTCAAAATTTTGGTACAATAATAATTACATTCTACAAATGAAAATTACAAGTAAAATTATTGTCATTTAATAATTATACAACATTTTTATTGTCGTTGTTTAAACCACAAATATACTTTAAAGAAGATAATCCAACACAAAATTAAAAAAATTCACAACACTAACATTTTTTATACACAAAATTTGAATTTAAGACTCAATTTTAAAAAAGTATATTAAACATATACCACTTTAAACAACTATTTTTTTATTATACAACATTCAAATATCCTAAATATATACAAAATTTAAGTTAAAATTTAAGATAACATAAATTACAAAATATTCGTGAGTTCTAATACTTTTGATATTGTTTTTTTTTTTACATTATCTTTATAAAACGCCAAATCAAGTAATAAAGAGAAAAAAGATAATAAGTAAGTAGAACTTGATGTTGAACGAGTAGAAAGATGTGTGAAGTAAACAAATATTAGTGAAGCAGTTTGATATGGCAAAATTTCTTAGCTCCCGCGTCTTTCTGTATTCTCCAAAAGCACCAAAAACAACGCCTCCAACACCCTGCACTGACGAGAGACACAAAACACACTCTTTGACTGCCACCGCCATTGCCAACACACGCCCACTTCACCACTCTCATCCTCGTACCTCTCAAAAAACGAATGCCACAATCCTTAACTTACCTCCTAAGAAAATCAAACTATAAATAACCTCTTTCTCTAATCTCAAACCCACCACTCCACACACTGATCCAACCAAAATAACAGAATGACAACATCCCCAAACACGCCCCAACAAAACGTTCAGCAATCGTTCGAAGCCTTCTACCAGAAGTGGCTTTCAAGTCAAGAGAATTTACTAGAACGGCTTCTCACGGTGTCCGCAATGCCCGATTCAGCCGCCGAAGTAGAGCGCCGGAGCAGGCTAATCGAAGAGGTGATGTGTCATTACCGGCAATACTTGGAAGAGAAATCGAAGGTGGCGTCCGTGGACGTGTTCCTTCTATTTTCCCCGACGTGGCTTTCTGCGTACGAAGGAGCTTTGCTATGGATTGGGGATTACAAGCCTTCGCTGATTCTCCGTCTGGTAGACGGCGCCGTGGAGGGTTTAACGGCGGAGCAGAGGGAGAGGGTGGAGCGAATGAGGGAAGAGACGAAGAGAGCGGAGAGAGAGGTGTCGGAGGCAATGGCAAGTGTTCAAGAGAGCATGGCGAGTCCGCGCGTGGTAGGACTGGTGAGGGTGTTGGACGGAGAGATAACGGAGTTGGAATCAGCGATTGAGGGGCTGAAGAGGGCACTGGTGAGGGTTTGGAAGAGAGCGGATGAGCTTCGTGCGTCCACGGTGAGGAAGGTGGTGGGGATTCTGAGTCCGCCGCAGACGGTGCAGTTTCTGGCGGCGACGATGCTCTTTCAGATGAGGGTACGGAAGTGGGGTTTGCAGAGAGACGAGGTCGACGGGGGACCCTCCTCTTGAAATCTAAATCCCCAAAATCATTCCCTCTCTCCTCCAACATTTCCTTTTCCTTATTAGGAATAAATTTATTTTTTTTCAATTGGCTCGTTGAAAAAGTTATTTATTTGAATAATTTCAATTTTTTTATTTCTTATGACTGTAATCCTTTTGTTAAAATTTTAAAAGTGTACTCAATTTAAAATTGAGAAAGACTATAAAATATAAATTTAAGTAACTTATTTGTTTTAAATAATTTTAAATTTGTGAATTTTTTATTTATAAAATATTTAAAATATGAAAAGATATAACGAAATTTTATTTGTGCTGTGCTAATTTTTCTGTAAATTTTATTATTAAAAATGGAGTAAAATAATGCTTAGATGTTCAAAATTATTTAAGGTTTTGTTTTCATTTTAATGTGGTAAAAGTTTTTCGTTTAGCACGAAATTATTTGAATATTAAGTCATATATAAAGAGAAACATAAAAAATTAATTTACAGCTATAACTTTCATAATTTTAAATCATAAAATACTTTTTTATCATACAGCTCTTTGTATATATAAAGGAACCGAATTAAACGATATAAAATATTAAAATTAGTCGTACTATATAATATTTAAAGCATAAATAATAAATAAATAATTGTTATAATTTCTCATGTTTATAACACATTTACTGTGATAAAATCGTGTAATTTTAATGATTAAATTTATGAAAATTATTTTCAAAAATATTATTTTATTAAATTTTAACGATTAGTGTTATTTAACTTAATGATCTGTTTTATGTATACACGTAAATAAATTAAGATCAAACGATATTGAGTGTTATATTTAATAAATTTATAAATCTAATAAATTTTTTATTTCTCAAACTTATTTAAGTCACATGATATTAATAACCAGCTTTTTCCTTTCCTTTCTAGAGTAATATATTTAATATAATTTTCTCAATCTATTTTAAAATGATACTAGCAATACTCTTTGATATTTTTTAGTATATTTTTTTATTATTACTTAAAATTTATAAAAATTATGAAAATAGAAAGTGAGACGAGAGACGATATACTTTAAAAGTAGAATTCACAGTCCAACTTTGCATCTTCTATGGAGACATTCTTTTAAAGTCATAAAACAAATCAAAAGGTCTAAGAGCACTAGACCCAACAAGTCACAAACCTTTAATCCATGCCTTGTGTATTATTTCAGACGTTATATTGATAACCAGCTATGTTCTTAATTTTGTAAAGTAATATATATAAGGTTTTTCTTAATCCCTTTTTTACAATTCCTTTTACATTCTCTGTTGAGACAAGACAAACAAGCCCGATGGTTGATTCGGGTATTCAAATTAGATTTGACCTTAAAACTTTAGAAAATAAATGCTAGCAAAGATATGTTTAAACTTTTATTTCATCTTAAAAATGCTAAAATTAACGATAAAATGTTCAAAACTAGTTATAGACACATAAAAGCTATATAAAAAGGATAAAACTTTATTAGGAGTTGTATTTATCACTATTAAGAAGTGTATTTTTATTTAAAAGAATTGAATTATAGTTTATATTAATCTTATAAAATATATATTTGAAAATAAAAATATAATTTAAGCATATTTTAAAACAAGTGAAAATAATTTTCTCTAATATTAACAACCCACGGCCCAACATTAATGAGCTGTTTGGATACATTTTGCATAAGGAATTGAAAAAAAAAATATAGGCCCATTTATATCCAATTACGCAAAAAAGTTGACCAAAAAAGATACTTTCTAAAAACAGTCATTGGAAACAGTGCTGTGACAAAAATAGAAAACCAGACTCCCCCTATTTCTTACTTTGATATTTTATTCTCTACCATTTTTTTTTCTCATTGAATACATTTATTTTCATTTTATACCAACAACGGATGTAGTTGGTTGAATGTAGCATAAAAAGAATTGTATTAAACTTGTCACCACCTAATAACAAATCGGCAACTAAGATTTAAAAGTTTACATTGGATGAAGTAGTTGCACTTTTATTTAACCATTTTTTAATACGTATTTAAAGATTATATTTTTCAGATAAAAAATTAAAATTTTAATAAATAATAAACATGTGTTTAAAATTATATCACATCTTTAGCATTTTAATCCATATTTGTAATATTATATTTTTAATAAAAATATTATATATACATTTTTTTATTTCTTGCCTTTAATCCCACGTTAAAAAAAGTATTTATATAATTATGAAGTACTGGAAAACCGAAAGATTCATCTGCAAATTAGAATCAAAATTGGGATCTAATTTACACTTTTGATATATCAACTAAAATGCAACTATCGTAGTTTGATCGTCTAAATTAAATAGCTCTAAATATTTATTTATTTTTCTTAGAAGTATATAAAAGGTTGGATTTTTAAAACATTTTTTAAATATATTAGAATTTAATTTGAATACATTGACACTGATAAAAAAAAATATTTAAACTGTCACGAGATTATAAATTAGCACATCTATAAAAATAAAAATAGTTCATTTTTATAATAATTAGTTTAAATTTCATACTCACGGTGTATTCTATTTATTTGGCAGTGTAGAATATTCTATACTAACCATGTATTAAAATTAAACTCAGTTTATTAGTTAGTTTGACAATTAATTTCATCACCTCCCTTAAATACATATCTACATAAAAATAAATGTATATATTATAATTAAAATAAGAGTGGGCATGGTTTAAATTTAACAAATAAACTGCAAAAGTAAGGGGTTTTTTGCTTATACACATAACGTATGTAATATTTTAACACAAACTTGTTATTTAAGATTAAACATAAAAAACATAAAATTTATAATATTAAACATTTATTAATAACTTTTATTTTTGGTAAATTTAAAAGAAATATAACACGAAGACTTATTAAGAGGTTACCCTTTTTAGTACTAATATTTTCTAAGTATAAAAGGTGAATGAAACTCAATGCATTAACGCTAATATAAATATACCTAAACATATATTGTTAATTTAGGCTTAAAAATGTAACATACTTCGACCTTGTTATATTAAAATTAAAATATTAAACAACTTAATTTCAAAAATTAGCTTAATGAGATGTTAAGTTTCAATGTTAGTTAAGTGCACGAGTTAAGTTAATCAAAGTTAAAAGATGTTATTATATAAATAAATATCATTAAATTTATGATAATCATTTTTTTAAAAATAGTTTAAAATTTTGTCTAATTAATTACTTGATAGTATACTTTCCTATGCTGATATTATATATATATATATATATATATATATATATATATGGATAGATAACATTGGTAGAAGCAAAGTGTTTCTTTTAATTGCAAGAACAATCCCGCTTGCATGATCTGATCTTTTGAGTTAAATTAGGTATGATTCATTATCCATTCTAATATAGTACTAGAGCTAATCTCATTAACTATATTAACAAGGTATCTCTTATATAATGACTTGGATAGTTTCAGTCAGCTAATCTATTCTTAATTTGAACACCACATATGGTTGGAATGGTCTCTTTCAGCAAGCTTATTATCATCTCTTGGGCTGGTCAAAGCGAGTCTGTCACTACTCAAAGTGCCAATTTTGACTGTTGACCGACATTTGTTTTGGATCCTTCTTTATGAAAGTGAAAAGTAAATGTCTTATATTGTTCGCATCATATAATTGTGCCATTGTGGTGATGTGCCTAGATTCTAATCCAATGGCAAAGGCAAAGCATTCCAATTAAAAGAGATGACACGACAGGAAAAACAAAAAAAGATACACTGAAAAAGAGAAGAGACAAGAAAGGGATGAAAAAGGAAGTTATATTATTGCCTCTCTTTTTTTCACTAAACGAACATGGGTTTGGCTAACCTCACTTGCAAAATAAAGTACAGAGAGACCGTGAAGTTGTGCAAAGGTGAATGGAAGACCATGCACCTTTCAAATGCAAAAGTTAAACACGTCGTACAAGATTTTAGAAAAATGCTAAATTGTTCATTTTTGTTTTCACCAAATTACATATATAGGAAAATTCAAAAGTCGTTTTTTAATTTACTAATTGACAATATTTTCTGGGTAGTGCCCATATAGCGAGGCTAGTTATGTTTATCTACAGAGGGTCATTCTCAGAGTTCTAGTCTCACCTCGTGAACTTGATTTCCATAACACACACAGACAGAGATGGAGGGACAAGTGTGACAGAAGTTGAAGTGGTGATCTTGATGGATCGAATAAACTTTTTAAAAAAAATTTCATATATAAAAATTATTTTAATCATCAATTAAAAATTATTTTATAATTTCTATGGTATATATAACCATTTATCTGATATGGGTCGAAGGAAAAAACTAGTTATTTGGAGAGTAATGATTTCTGACGCAACACTCACTATACATATGGAAACATTTTCTTGTGTCTTTGAGAGAGTGGGTCCAAACTAAGAAGACAAGGGTACTTCATTCACGTGTTCTCTTTAGGAAACGAGGGGTTGCTGACTAACACTATTTAAATCCACTTAAAATGCGAACAAAAATTGGAGTAGGCGCTGAATCACTTACCTGGGGCCATGTTTCTCTTTCAAATGACAGGGTTCAAAGATAGGGTGAATCTGCAGGGCCATAGTTCCTGTTTCTGTCCTCTTTCATATCATATTGTATTTAATGATTATATATGGGAGTTCAATGCCAGTGCTACTAGATCTCCCTGAATATATATATATATATATATATATATATATATATAATTATTAAAAATTTATTTATAAAAATATATCTGATAAAATTTCTGTAGAACTGAATATTTATCAGTGGTCTAATATTTAAACTGAATAAATTATGATATGATATTAAAAAGTTAAACTTTTTTAAATCTTATAAAATATAATGTGACCATATTTTTAATCAAAGCAGAATATCTTAACATTGATGCCACTATCGACCTTTAAGTCTTTATCTTGCTGGCAAAATTGGATTTTAGGGTATGGATAGCATATGCTGTCTTTCTTTGCCTATATAAATTAGTAAATAAATTTCTAGCCAAC